AGTGACAGAGCGAGACTCTTTCTCTAGGAAAAAAAAAAAAGAAAAAAGGATGGGTTGCAGTGATTAATGCCTGTAACCCTAACACTCTGGGAGGCCAAGGCAGGCAGACTGCATGAGTTGAGGAGTTTGAGACCAGCCTGGGCAATGTGGTGAAAACCCACCTCTACAAAAAAAAAAAAAAAAAAAAAAAAGCTGGGTGTGCTGGTGCACACCTGTGGTCCCAGCTACCCTGGAAGCTGAGGCGGGAGGAATGCTTGAGCCCAGAAGGTCAAGGCTGCAGTGAGCCATGATAGAATCACTGCACTCCAGCCTGGGAGACACAGTAAGACCCTATCTCAAAAAAACTCAGCATGGTTTTGACGACTACAGATTTACTCTCTCCATAGGCAAATTAGCTTCATTTTCACAAAAACTATGTTCCAAAACCAAGGCTAAATCCCATCAGCTACCTCTTGGATCCAGATGAGATATGGTATATTCAGAATACATTTCATCACTAAGATTCTGGTGATATATCAGAAATGACATCTTAACAGGTATCAGACACTAGATCACGTTCTTTTAGTACGCAACTGTGAACTGTTTTAACTGTTTTCTTTGATAGGTGATAAGCTGCCAACTCCTATTCCATTTATCATCCATTCAAATATAAGGTCTCCCACTTGATACTTACATAGTTAGTTTAGGTCACCAAATATACAGCACGCAGAATCCACTTTGGATAAACCACATTATCAAGCTCATTTTGAAATCCTATTTCTGTCTTCAAGATTTTCGAAATTATAAACCACTTTGCTGTCATTCACAAGTATGAAGTTCTTATTTCTACCATCACTCAGACTGAGAAAAAAGACAGAATAAAGACAAAGTTCCACAGGGCGTCCCCATCACTGCTCATTGTCATGAGTTTGACCACTGAGTAGGCTGTATATCTATAGTAATATGATCTAGTGCCTATCTCCTAAGATTACTATTTATCTTAGGAATAAAGCATATTCGTATTCTAAAACCTCACATTCACAGTAGTTACAAAACCACCACGTTATGCAAGCATAGTCTGATTCAGTATATGGAACGGAAGAAGGAAAGAAACCATTATGTGCCAGGAAGAGTGCTCCTTTCTTTACATATGGTCTCAACTAATTCTCAACACTTTCAGGTATCAGTATTCTTCTTTGTTAATAAAAAAAAAAAAAAATGAAAGAAGTTAAGCAACTTACAGTATAAGCAACTTTGAAGACAGACAGAAACCTAGCTCTATGTTAATGTGCTTAACATAAAGGTTTCTGTCTCTGGGTTTATGAGGTTAGTTGTACGTGACTAGGCAACATAACATCTCTGAACCTCAGTTTCCTCATCTATAAAATGGAGTTGAAGTGAAATAATTCATGTAAGGTGTTTAATTCAGAGCCTACTATATAGTAAGCTCACTCAATAACTATTAGCATTGGTCAAACTCGAACTGCTAGTTAAGAAAATCAGAAGTCAAACTCCGGTCTGATTTCCAAGTCCATGCTCTTTCCACTACAACATGCTATAGTTGCCAATACACACTTCTTACCCACACAAGAATCCACACTTAACATATGACATAGATGGGAAACTGCTATTACCTAAATGAGGTAACTATCAAGATCTAACTAAACCAGGCCAGGCGCGGTGGCTCACACCTGTAATTCCAGCACTTTGGGAGGCCGAGGTGGGTGAATCACCTGAGGTCAGGAGTTCAAGGCCAGCCTGGCCAATATGGTAAAACCCTGTCTCTACTAAAAATACAAAAATTAGCCGGGCAGGATAGCGGGTGCCTGTAATCCCAGCTACTCAGGAGGCTGAGGCATAAGAATCGCTTGTACCCGGGAGGCGGGGGGTACTGTGAGCTGAGATCACGCCATTGCACTACAGCCTGGGTGACAGAGCAAGACTCCATCTCCAGGAAAAAAAAAAAAAAAAAAAAGATCTAACGAAACCAGCAGAAGTATTTTAGCTCTAATATCTCATAAGACACCGTTTAGAAAACTCCTCATAAGATACCGTTTAGACCTTCAGGTATACAGAGTTTTGTTCCAAATTCCATGAAACTAGTTTCCTACCTATGTAGGAATTTATCCTGTTTATCTCAAACCAGTTGTAAATCAGAATTTTAATTACCAAAGGTCCCTCTAAAAAGCTTACTTAGGTGACCTGAACAAAATGTCCCCTGGGGCAGGTACGGTGGCTCATGCCTATAATCCCAGCACTTTAGGAGGCCAAGACGGGAGAATCACTTGAGACTAAGAGCTCAACATCAGCCCCAGCAGCAAAGAGAGAACCCATCTCCACAAAAAATTTAAAAAACGAGTTGGGCATGGTGGCTTGCGCTTGTAGTCCCACCTACTTGGGAGGCTGGCAGGAGGATCACTTGAGCCTGAGAGGTAAGGCTGCAGTGAGCCAGGATCGTACCACTGCACTCGAGCCTTGGTAACAGAGTGAGACCCCATCAGAAAAAAGGAAAGAGACAGAGAGAAAAAAACGAAAAGGAAAGAAAGGAAGCAAAAGAAAAGAGAAGAAGAGGGGAGGAAGGAAGGAGAAATGGGCCTTCCTACAACAATCTGAACGCTGCATCAACTTGAAGCTTGTCAATTTTGCTTTCAAGATCAACTGCTACTTAATATTTTGTATTTAACTGTACCACTTTTAAATTAAAGCAACCGCCAAGCTCTGTGGCTCACGCCTGTAATACCAGCACTTTGGGAGGCCTAGGCAAGAGGATCACCGGAAGTCAGTAGTTCGAGACCAGCCTGGCCAACATGGTGAAATCCTGTTTCTACTAAAAATACAAAAAATTAGCTGGGTGTGGTGGCACATACCTGTAATCCCAGCTACTTGGGAGGCTGTGGCAAGAGAATCGCTTGAACCCAGGAGGCAGAGGTTACAGTGAGCTGAGTTCACACCACTGCACTCCAGCCTGGGTAACAGAGCAAGATGCCATCTCAAAAAAAAAAAAAAAAAAAAAAAAAAAATTTAAAGTAACCAAATAGTGTCACCTTTACCACCCAATCCTCTGACCAAAGCCAGGCATTGTTGTTCTAACAAGGCTCAAAAATCTCACTTAATTATTTCACTCTCTGCCTGATCTAATGGTAGGATAATGCAAATCAAAGATAGTAGCATAAGTTATGTTCTACAACAATCATTAATAATAGGTTTACTATTTCAAACAACTTCCAAGTACTGATTTGCCTTAAAGGGGGTTGCAAACCAGGATGAGATGCCCATACACACTGATTTTTGCTAACTGTAGTCTATTCAGCAAAGCAACAAACCTCTAGCGAAAAGAATGCCACATATATTCCAGTGAAACAAAATTAATACACGTGCCTTGGTAAAAAGGCTGAGTTCTAAGCAAAGATAGAGCACTGTTCATGATGTACTCACCCTTCAAAGGAATCAAATCGAAACACTTTCATTTCAGCAACGAAACTTTTAAAAGGCTTTATTTTGCAATAATTTTTCAAGTCCCTGCATTTCTTAGATTCTTTAAATTCTAACTTCCTGCCTCATAGATCTAAAATAGCCATGACATACCTAGGTATGCGCTACTCATTTAGTTAGAATAGTGCAGAGGAACACAAGCCTGTTTCTAGGGGTACAACTCCATACCCATTCATTTTGCACTAATATAACCACTAAATATAGCTCTAAGACACTGATGATTAAAAGCGGTTAATTATGTGAGTGATTCATACCTTCTATGTCCAAACACCAAGATTCAGGGATGTCTGTCAGATCTATGGGAAGAGGGGACAATAAACACCTGTCACAAAGCTTTTTTCCAAACCGGGAAGCCCCCAGCTGAGTTCCTGCCAATCCCAACCCGATTCCCTCCCCTTCATCCCTACCCCTCACCTCCCCAAAAAAGCTAGAGGTCATACTTCCACCAGAACCTGACTTTGTCAAGGGAATGGAGAGACAGGCCATAACGAGAGTGGCCACCAGAGCACTGCTAGGGGAAAGGGCCCTGGGTTCTTCTAGTCTGCACTGCCACAGGGTCCGAATGGGAGGCCTCAGGCAAGTCCGAAGGCACTTTCCCCCACGGGACTCACTCATTTTATCTGTGAAACGCGGAGATGGCAAGCAGCTCCACACTCCACGGCTGAGGACGAGCTGGGCTCCCGCACAGACCCACCGAGGGCCCTGCCAGCACCCCACCGCCTCTGCCCGCAGGACCTCCAGCTCCCCCAGCACTTTCCGCAGGGCCGACGACCAACCACCCCGCGCCCGGCCCCCACGCTCGCCCCCCCCCGGCCTTCGCCCACCGCGTGGGCTCCCGCCCTGGCCTCACCTGTCCCCGACACTCCAAGTCCCCGCGATGCCCAACTCCGGCCCGAGAAGGCTGGCCGCGACCTCGCCCGGTACCCGCCGCCCCGACACCACCATTCGCCTCCTCGACCACCCCCGTGGCCGCCGCCCACCCGCCCCTCGCCCCGCTCACCGGGGCCGCTCACTGGCCGCCGCCGCGCCGCCTCCTCCGCGGCCTCCCTCGCGACCGGACCAGCCCCAGGGGCCGCGGGGGGACCCGGCCGCCGCTGTCGCCGCCGCCGCCTCGCCTCAGCCCAGCCCCATCGCCCTCGGCCGGCGCCGCGCGCTGCGGCTCAGGGTGAGGGAAGGAGGCGCCGCGGCGGGGCCGGGCCGGCCCTGGGACCTCCGCGCTCTCCTCCTCCTCCGCGCCCGCGGCGGCGGCGTGCAGCCGGGCAGGCGAGAACAAGGGAGGGCGGCGGGAGGTGGGCAGGGGAGGGGGGCGGTCTGCACTCCGAAACGGCCCCCCGCCGCCAGCGACGTAGCGAACCCCCCTCCCCTCCGCGGCGGCGCCCGATCACGCTGCGGGGAGAGCCGGCGGGCAGGCGGGGGAGCGCGCGCGGGCTCAGGACTCCCGCGCCGGATGTGAGGTCACGTGGTGGCTTCATCCCCGCGCGGAGGGCGGAGGGCGGAGGGGCGCGGGCGACGTCAGGAGGCGGGGAGGGGGCGGGGCGATTCCTAGGCCCCGCCCACCCATCGCCTTTGCCACCCTCCAGCGGGCGAAAGAAAGAGGCAGGTAAGGGGAGGCCGTCCAAAAACGCCAGGTGTCAGGCCAGGGTGGCTAATGGAGGGCGGCTTTTCTGGTGAGATGAAACGGGACGGCAAATCCCACTTCATCCCCTTTCGGCTATGACAACATCATAGTCCAAACTCCCATTTTATAAAGAAGGAAACTGAGGCTCACTGACTAGACAGACGTTGCCCAGAGTCGTGCATGGAGGAAGCTTGTGCTGGAATGGTGGCGAGGAAACCGGAGCCTAGCTCCCAATGCAAGGCTCTTTCATTCCCTTAGCCACCCCCGCCCCCGCCAAAACAAACAAAACACTGTCATTCGCACATGACCACGGACTCTGCGCGCCGGCCGCAGGCGGAGGACGGGGAGGAGCGCGCACGAGAAAGCTCCCACGCGCCCGCGGCTCGCCTCCGACGGGAAGGCGCCTCTTCCGACCGTCCTGGATTAAATACTTCCTACCGCAGAAGACTTATCTCGGGGTAGGGCCGCAGCCGGATTTCCAAATCGCGGGTTTGATTTTCGCGGCGTCCACTCCGCGACGCGCGCAGGGAGCGCGCCCGGCCACCTGCAGCCTCGGGCTGCGGCCATCTTTCCGCCTGGGGCCACCTGGCCTGAGCCCTTGGTGCCCGGCCCGCTCCGTGACTGTTCTTCTTGCCGCTACTTACAGAACTCAGCCGCCTCAGCGTCTTAGAGTAGGGGACGGCATGCACGCGGACCCTGCCCGCCACACCTGCAGAGCAGGGAGCACTTAGCCCTGGACACTTACCGGGGCCGCCACCCCGGTCCACGCACGTGATGACATCTCACCTGGGGCAGCACACCGCCCCGAGTCTGCGACACTGATAACACCCCCCGGGGGCAGGAAAGCGCCACAGCCACCCCTGGTCCCCTAGATTGTGTGAGGCTGGCATTTCTGCGCGCCTCTTGGCGTGGACAGCACGCTGGACCGAGATGGAGCCACAGCTTTCTCTTCCCAAACCCTGGCCTCACCGTTTTGTTTCATACCTCACCGTTTGTTTCAAACCTCGTGGTGTTGAAATGATTAAATGAGATAAGGGGTGTGGTAGTGTTGGGCAAACCGCAAGAAAGCGGTCTGGGTGGGGTCAGGCCCTAAAATCCTCCTCCCCCACCTCCCTGGCTTCCTTGCCTGGCTGTTTCCTTTCAGCCTTTAAACAGGCTGGCCTCTCCAAGTCCTAAAAACAAAATTATCAAGCCAACCTCCTCCTGTAGTGCCCCCTCGAACTAGCTTCCAAGTGTTGCATGCGGACCTCAAACAGTGGTCTTCCCTGGCTGCCTCTGCTTCCTCATTTCTCAACGCTTGGCATTCTGGCTTCTCCTCCCCGACTCTGACCCTTCTTCACCCTGCTCAGGCAAGAGTAACTCATGACTTTCATTTTGCCAAACTTTGCAGGCATTCCTCAGGCCTTATCTCTCTGGTTCTTTCTGCTACATATGACACCTTGTGATGGCTCTCACCTTCTGGAATCTCTCTATTACCTTGGTTTCAGAAGAGTGAACCCTCTCAATTATCACATGAAGGTAAGTAAAGCCTCTGCCTCCCTTGGTAGCATCCACTTGTGAATCTGCACCTTAAATTCAGGATTCCACTCTGCCAACAGCTTTTCTCACTTCACTCATTCTTCTGGGATAGCCTGCGTCCTCATGGATGCAGCTCCCAAATTAGCAATTTCCAACCCAGACTCCTTCCACAAAATTGAGAACCAAATATCCCACTGCCTACCAGGCAGCTCTAGCTAGATACCACAGAGACACCCCAAACTGGACATTTCCAAAACTGAACTCATTTTCTGCTTTCATAGCTGCCCCTCCCTCAGTTGTTGGCACACCATCTCCACAGTCATCAGAATTAGAAAGATGGGAATGAGTGAGTCATTCTTAATTCAGCCTTCTGCCTTACCAAATCACCAAGTCCTATCTATTTCACCTCCTTAATAAGCCTCAAATTCCTACGGTGGGCCGGGCACAGTGGCTCATGCCTGTAATCCCAGCACTTTGGGAGGCCGAGGCTGGTGGATCACAAGGTTAGGAGTTCAAGACCAGCCCGACCAACATGGTGAAACCTCATTTCTACTAACAATACAAAATTAGCTGGGCATGGTGGCACATGCCTGTAATCCCAGCTACTTGGGAGGCTGAGGCAGGAGAATCGCTTGAACCTGGGAGATGGAGGTTGCAGTGGGCTGAGATCGCGCCATTGCACTCCAGCCTGGCTAACAAGCAAAACCGCATCTAAAAAAAAAAAAAACATTCCTACGGTGGTTCCCACTGGCATCCACCCTTTCCAGCCTGAACTGTTAGACAAATTCAGCCTTCAGAATGAACTACAGTGCACTCCATTTAAAATTCTGGCTGCAGTGTATACCTCCAAGCTACCCAGCATGAACCTGTCACCTCATTTGGGCTTTTAAAAAATCACAGAGAGCCCCAGAATTCGAGGTGCAGCCAAAGTAAGACAACGTGCAGCCAGGCAAGGGAAAGCTCTAGGAAAAAGAGAAGAGCAGTTGGATGTTCCAAAACCTTTTCTGTTACAGATGTTCTGAGAATGGTGAAAAAAGAATTTGGACACTGGCTTTAGAGGAAGTGCTGAGTCACCAGGAAAGGCTTGAGCATGTTTACAGGTTGAAGGAAAAGAAGGTGCAAAAAAAAAAAAGGAGAAACTCAAGATAGGGGAGAGAAAGGCAGTGGAACAGTCTAGGGAAGTTCTGGAAGGCTTGCTGGTTCTCAAGTCATGATGATTCTGGGTCCAAGTCCACTGCTTCCTTCCTCTGATCCTACTCACTGTAAGGGCCAACCCTGATTGCAGCTGCATGGAGATAACAGTCATGCTAGTAAGGTCTGACTTCACTTCTCACAAAGGCTATGTCGCATCTCCTCCATCCTCAAAACCCCCATCTTTGAGTGCGCTTCCCTCTCACTATCCCCTTACCTCCTATTTCACTAAGAAAACCTACACCATCAAGAGGCAACATCCTCATCTTCGTGTCCGTAAATCTGCCCATCATCCTACATCAGCCCCAGGGTCTCTTTTCCCACTCCAGAGGGGCAAAGCCTCCTCCTAACAGTGCTGGCTCTCCACAGAAATGACCACTGTTAGGCCAACTCCCGGGGCTAGGCCTCCCCAGAATATTACTGTTGCCAACTCCGGAGGACACTTTGCAGGCCTTGTCTTTCTAGTTCTCTCAGCAGCATGCATCTCCTACTCTTGAGACACTCTGCTGTTAGTTTTGATAACATACCTGTTTTGGAATTCCTCCTCCCTGTTTCTCTCTGTCCACTCTGTCTCAACCTCCCCAGGTGCTTCCTGTGTCCTGCTTCTAAATGTTGCTGTTCCCCAGGGCTTAACCTAGGACCCATTCCTGTGTCTACACAAGGTTTGTTGTTTTTTTGTTTGTTTGTTTTTAATTTGACATCTCTTGACCATACAAGAGTTGTGGACGGGCTTCAGAAGGATCTATAAGCTCCTTAAACTTGGATGCAAATACTTTTAAAGGAAGAAGTGGAGCTTTTAGCAGCTTCCCAGAGGTGTCTGGGTCCCCCAAAAAAGATAAGAGGACTAAACCACATGCTCTCCCCTGGTGGCCTCATCTACCATGGCTATAGCTGTCATCTGCATATACTTTAATAACTGTCAACTGAGGCTGGGCGTGGTGGCTCATACCTTTAATCCCAGCACCTTGGGAGGCCAAGGCGGGCGGATCACCTGAGGTCAGGAGTTTGAGACCAGCCTGGCCAACATGGTGAAACCCCATCTCCACTAAACATACAAAAATTAGCTGGACGTGGTATTGTGCACCTGTAATCCCAGCTACTTGGGAGGCTGAGGCAGGAGAATCACTTGAACCCAGGAGGTGGAGGCTACAGTGAGCTGAGATGGCACCATTGCACTCCAGCCTTGTTGACAGAGCAAGACTCTGTCTCAAAAACAAAAACAAAAACAAAAAACAAAATTGTCAACCATATGCCTGCAGCCCAGGCCTCTCCTCAGAGTCCCGTGGCCATTCCTCCCTATTGTTTTCACACGGTGTTTCACCGGCGCCAGATAAGTTCACTTATCCCAGACTCAACTCCTGCCTTTCTTCCCCAAACCAGCTCCTCTCCTGGGCCTCCTGACCTTAGCAAAGATGCTCTCTCCCAAACAACTGCTGAAGCCCAAAACCTGGGAGTCATTTTTTACACCTCCTTCTTCCCCACCCCATCCAATCCAACACCAAGTCCATTTCAAATCCTTCCCCATCACTCCGTCTTCACTGCCACTAGAATAATGCATGCCCCCTCCATCTCTCACCTGGCACTAGTGCATTCGCTCCCAGCGGGTCTCTCTGCTTTTACTCTTGCCCACCTTCAGTGCATTCTTGCACAGCAGCCAGAGTATTAGTTTATGTGACTTCAAGCAGAGCTACTAATAAAAGCGTTCACTTGCTTCCCATCTTACTTAGAATACTAGATGAACTTCTTGGGTCCACAAAGTCCAGTGCAGGATGTGACCTGCCCACCACTTCCCCCTTCACTGGCACTCCTCTGCCCTCCCTGTCTTCTCACCACAGACCCCTTCCCCAAGTTACTCCACCTCCACTAGGCCTTCTTTCAATTCCTCAGACGCACCAACCTCTTTCCTGCCTCAGGGTCTTTGTACCATCTGTTCTTTCCCTTCCATTTTTTTTCTTGCCTGACTAACTTATAAGTTCAACTTGGGGCTTAAATCCACATACAGTTGTCCCTCGATATCCACAGGGAATTGGTTTCAAAACCTCTGTGGATACCAAAATCCAAAAATACTCAAGTTTCTTGGATTAAAGGGTATAGTATTTGCATATAACCTATATACATCCTCCTGTGTACTTTTTTTTTTTTTTTTTTTTTGAGACAGAGTCTTATTCGGTCACCCAGGCTGGAGTGCAATGGCAAGATCTCGGCTCAGTGCAACCTCCGCCTCCCGGGTTCAAGCATTTCTCCTGCTTCAGCCTCCTGAGTAGCTGGGATTACAGGTGCCCACCACCACGCCTGGCTAATTTTTTGTATTTTTAGTAGAGACGGGGTTTCACCATGTTGGCCAGGCTGGTCTTAAACTACTGACCTCAGGTAATCCACCTGTTTCAGCCTCCCAAACTGCTGGGATTACTGGCATGAGCCATGACAACCCATCATCTACACTTTAAATCATCACTCGATTACTTATAATACAATGTAAATGCTATGCAAATACATTTTTATTTATAGTATTTTTATTGTGTTGTTTTTGTAAGTATCTTGCATGATATGTAAGATTGAAAAAATAACGATTGTTTGTTTTTGTAAATATGAGAAGGACTTTTGGGATTATGGGAAACGGGTGCATAAAAATATCCTTCTCACCTGGGCACAGTGGCAGGTGCCTGTAGTCCCAGCTACTTGGGAGGCTGAGGTGGGAGGATTTCTAGGATTGCCTAAGCCCAGGAGTTTGAGTCTACAGTGAGCTATGATTGTGGCACTGCACTCCAGCCTGGGCAACATAGTGAGATCTCAGCTCTCAGAAAAAAAAAAATCCCCCATCCCCACCCAAACCATCTCTTTGTGATGCTTCTGGTAAGGAATAAGTCAGTTTGGTTTATCACTATAGACCCAGCACTAGATGAAGCCTGGCATGTGACAGACACTCGAATGTTTGCACCTGATGGCTGACTGAATGAATTTACAATCTCAGATATCATCTCTAAATGCCTTCCCTGACTCCCAGGCTAAGAATCCCTCTTTAGCTGAGTGTGGCGGCTCACCCCTGTAATCCCAACATTTTGGGAGGCCGAGGCAGGTGGATCAGTTGAGGTCAGGAGTTTAGACCAGCCTGACCAACATGATGAAACCCTGTCTTTACCAAAAATACAAAAATTAGCCAGGCGTGGTGGCAGGCACCTATAAGCCCAGCCACTCCGGAGGCTGAGGTGGGAGAATCGCTTGAATGCAGAGGTGGAGGTTTGCAGTGAGCCAAGATCGCGCCACTGCACTCCAGCCTGGCAATAGAGCAAGACTCCATCTCAAAAAATAAAACAAAAAGAATCCCTCTTTAGCGCATATTTGTCTCACTGCATTTACAACCTTGAATAAATACCTATTTAGTGTTTGTGTTTTCCGTGAGTCTACCTTATTCGTGTTTTTTTCCTAAGGTTCTAAATACTTTCATGTGTTCTCTCATTTAATCATCACAACAATGCCAACACTAAAAATAGTAGTTACTATTCTTTTCATTTTTATAGATGAAGAAACGGAAGAAACTTTACATATATTATCTCATTTAATCTTTGTAACAATTCTAGGAAGGAGGTACTATTACTATTTCTGCTTACAGATGAAATTGAGGAAAGCTTAAAAATCCCATTTTACAGAATGGAAGATATGTTCAATAACTCACCCAAAAGCACAGCCAGGATTCGAACCCAGACACTTTGCTCCAGAGCCAAACTCTTGACCAGTATAACCAAATGAAGCCAGAGTGATTCACCGCCTCACATCCAAACTCTGGATTATCTGTTTAAGCACCCAGGCTT